GTGGTAGCGGTGCCCGTGGCTGTTAGCATGCTCCGCCCGCAGAGGTGAAGGAGCCTCCAGGAGCTGGGGCATCCCTCCTTCCTCTGAGGGGCTGACGTAGCCCCGGCCTCCTCTTAGGGGGCTGCCAGCCCCTCTGAGGCAGCCCTGGTCCTCGCTGGGGCTGCTCTGTCACCTCACATGCCCACCCGCCTTAAACACAAGCACCAGAGCAGAAGTGAAGAGCCATCTAGGAGTCGGGTCTTCTTTCCTGCCTTCGCTCAGGGGGTAACTTGTGAGGCCTCCATCTAAAATAGGTCCCTTTTTGTTGAGATGGGACCAGATAACTAAAGGTGCCAAGAATTTCCAATTTGGAGGCTTTTTGTGAACCTGGTGATAAATGGGCAGAGCTGTAGTTGAGGTTAGGATTATTTACTATAGAGGCTTTTGAAATACATAGTGGTTATGCACTAACCGATTAACTCACCTTTCTTCCTGGGCAGCTGTTGGCGTCTGGCGAGCAAATGTTTCCACACCACAGTGAGGTTTCTGAAGAAAACTGGAACTGAGCACTGGTGGTTGGAGCGGCACTTGAAGGATCCCTTTGTCAAGGCAACGAAGCGACAGCATTACCGTTGCCGAAGTGCCTTCAAATTACTAGAAATTGATGACAAGCTTCATATTCTTCGTCCAGGACTTTCTGTTCTTGACTGCGGAGCGGCGCCTGGTGCCTGGAGCCAGGTTGCTGTGGAGAGGGTCAACGCCTTAGGTACCGGTAAGTGTGTGCTTTTGGCAGGCAAGATGGGGATGATGAGTATATCTTGAAGTGTGTGAGAAAACTCAGCTGCAATGGTGGCAGTGTGGGGAAGGGACACGGGTACTGGCAGATGCCAGAGTCACTGATAGAAGCGTGAAGGTGTATGCCTATGTGGCAGTGAAAATCTTCATACGGTCCAGAGAAATCATGTTTGTGAAATAAAAACTTACCACGAGGTGCTATGTAGGCATAACGAAGTGTTCTGATTAACTGTGTTGTGGGGAGGATCCCTTCATCCAGTTCTGAAATCCATGTAGCCTCCAGCAGGTAACTTGGCTTTTCTGTATTTTTATTTCCTTTCTTGAAAAATGGTAGTAACCACTATGTACGGTTTAGGTGTTTTAAGCCATTAATATTTACAAGATAAGGTGTTATCATCTGTACTATTGTCCAGGATTTCTGGACTGTCAGCCTTGAAAGAACAGGAGAAAACCAAGAAAAATACCCCTTCCTTATCCAAAGTAACTGAGTTTTCATGTCTTGAATGGATTAGCTTATAGCAAACCATCCATCGAGATGCACGCAGCAAACTGTCTAAGGACAAGACCAGACATGGCAGGTGATATGTTTCTGTTTATTGACTAGCATGGAGCTCGTGTACATGCAAGTTGTTTGCAGCCATTATGAGTGTTCAGTATGTCATTCATTCTTATAATCTAGATCCTGCTGTCCCCACTGGCTTCGTCCTTGGTGTTGACCTCCTGCGGATTTCTCCTCTGGAAGGAGCAGTCTTCCTGTCGGAGGCTGACATTGCAGACCCAAGCACGCTGAGGACGATTCAGAGTCTGCTTCCTGCAGAGAAGGTGGATGTTATCTTGAGCGACGTGGCACCTAATGCGACAGGCATTAAAGAACTGGATCATGAGAAGCTGATCAATCTGTGTTTAGGCCTTCTGAATCTGTCACAAAGTATTTTAAAGCCAAAAGGAACGATGCTCTGTAAATTCTGGGATGGACATGAGTCCCGTCTTCTGCAAAACAGACTGAAGGAGCAGTTCCAAGACGTGAGAACTATAAAGCCTCAGGCCAGCCGGAAAGACTCTGCTGAATCTTATTATTTGGCAAGACTGTACAAAGGGAAGTGAAAGCTGAGAACTGCAGATTTTCAAACAGGTGATCAGACATTAATAGGAAATCTGAATTTGGCGTGTGTTTAGAGAAAAATCCCACCATTAAGACCCTGGGTAAATCTGCCACAATTCTTATGAAGTACATCATACTTTTTAAACACAAAAGTATACCAGGGTGCTGTCCTGCTGAGTTTATCCACTAATTATACAAGCAGAGACATCCAATCTAGCTTCTCACCTGTGGAGAAAACGGTTGGGAACGGAGAGGAGTAATCTGAAAGGCAACCTCTGGGGCTGGAGTAATGGAAACGAAAATAAAACAGTGATTATATGAGTTTTTAATGTGTGCTTGAAAATTATTGCACTATTAATGTTGTCATATATGAGACTAACCATAAAGGCGGTTGTCAGAATGAGAGCGAACAGCAAGGGAAGTCTCAGCCAATTAATTTATTGCCTCTTCATCTTTCTTAAAAGCTGGTGCAATTTATTAGCATGTGTAAAAATAGATAATGTTTTCGTGCATGTCGGAATCTGCACTGTCACGTACAATCTGTAACGCAGCTGCCCAGGATGTACGACTGACTCCGGAATATTTAGCCTGATGGCTCTGCTGCGTTTTCTGAAGACATGGGTTATATTTAGAAATCGCTACTTAATTGTACTCATAAATCCAGTAAATGACAGCAGGGCGGGGTCATCGCTACTGAGGAGGTAATTTCCCCTATGTTTTCAGTAATGGTTTATATTTGACCAATGATATTTCTTAGGTGAAATTACAAGACTTGGATCCCAGACAGGGAGAATTACTGATTGAATTGCTAGAATTCTGTTTGCAAAAATAAATTTAGCCACTGCCTTATCTGGAAGTGACAACTTTTACATTAAATAGCACTTTTATCAGGCCGACTGTGGCATGAGTTATGAGGGGCTGGTAGCACTGTCTGTTTTTAAGGCTTCCAGATCTTTCTCATTATAAACATCCCAGCTGGAATTGCTTACATATCTACCAAGTTTTAACTGCTTTGAAACCTCCCGATCTGGATTTCCATACTGGATGGTGTGCATGAAAGCGTTATCCCAAGAGCCTAAACTGGGGAGCTGGATGTTGCTTTGTATATGTTTGGGAAGGAAAAAAATGGTGTCAGTCCGCTCTTCCAGAAACTTTATTACCAGCGATTCGCGACAGGAACTGGAGCGGGCAGGGCGCTGGCTACGCCTGTGCTTTCCCCGTTGCTGCTCCGGCTGCAGTTGCGGTGGGGCAGGACGGCTCTGCCCGAGCAGGAGCGTTGCAGCGCGGTCCCCGGGGCGGAGCGGGGGACAGGGCGGTTTTGGGGGGGTGGGTTGCGAAGGGGCGGCG